TGTCCGCCTCGTCCTTCAGGTGTAATGGAGCCGAGAAACAGATAATTACAACCCTCTGACCATCCCCCATACACCAGCCGGGCGCCAGCTTTTATTTCGGTCCCTGACCTCGCCGTCGTTGTCATTGTCGTCGTCGTGGCCGTCGTCGTCGTCGCGTGCCCTCGCGGAAAGATTTAAAGCGTGGATTCGTATTCATTCGCCGGTGTTAGCGTTGATATTTCTTCGTTACCATGTCCCCTCCGCGCGGACGCGTACACGTTAACCTTATCCTGCGGACAGACGTCGAGAGACGTACGAAAACGAAAGAATGAATGAAGCTGGCTTGCTTCTCGCGTCGGCGAAACTTTCCACCCGCGCGCGCGGTCTCTCCCATTCGGCGGCGACGATCGCGAGTGATCAATCGTGATTTCGTGGATTCGCCGAGAAAGCACCGAAAATTAAATCCACCTCTCGTGAAGAATATCCAGATGTTTTTTTTCTTCTTTCATGGAATCGAAGCGATCCGAATGTATTTGTCCATTTATCTGGGTTTTTATCTAGTCGCGTCGCGACTGCAACGGTCATCAGTGATATTGTTGCAAAGGTAACAACTGTTTCCGTTCCGGGACGATCGCGTAGATATGAAATCACGATATCCACCCGAAGATATCATCGGACTCGTACATCTTTCGTCCTTGCGAAATCAAGGCGCCGCGCTGCGACGGAAAGAGTCGCCCGACACGATCGCGCTTGTACGTTTATAATAGCGAGCGAAAATGTCTCTCGCATGCAGTTTACACCGTTGCTTAAGAGCACACGCGAACACCAGCTGAAAAGTTTGCCCGGTTATGGCTATAACGATTTTGAAAATTAAAGTGATTTGCTGCCTTCCCCGCGCCTTCGCCCTGCCGCGCTCCGCGCGCTCCTTACTAGCTTTTTCCTCTTTAGCCAGTACTTTAGGTGTAATAGAGCCGAGAAATAGATAATTATCCTTCTCTGACCTACTTTTCGCGCTCGCGCGTATCCTCCGACTCGGCTTCCTCGCTGAGTCTTAAGCGATCATCTCGAAGTTCTTCAGCATCGCGCGATGCTGAAAGTACCGCCTCTCGCTATAAAAAGCTCCGTCTACCCCTAAGTATGCCGGAGGGATGAATTATGACGGCACGCTCAATTACAACGAACATAGTTTCCCCCGATATTTATTAAACGTCACCGACGAAGCCCCCTCCCCCACCCCTCCTCGACTCGTGTTCCTCTTGTTTTCACGCGTGGAAATTAATCTATGAAGTAGCCACCCCTCTGGCTTATCTTCCTGTCGCGAAACAATCATCCTTTTTTTCTCTCCGCTAACGACAGTAACGTCGTTTATTAATCAACGGATTAATCAAGCGCGAATTAATCAACGGATCGTCGAGCTCTATCGGTCGGATTTGACTCGGACGCCGTCGCGTCGTTGCGAAAATTTCCAGCAGTCTCGTCGCAGGTGGGTTTATTTGTACACTAAAGTCAGCCTATCAGCTGAATTTCCATCCGCTATTTCTTTCCGGTAATGTTACAGAATAAATCGAGTCGTATCGCTGGAGACAATCGAATCGCGGGGAATGATTCCGACGAAGAATGCGAAGCAGCCCGCGGCGCAGTCCCCCTCCTACTGTCTCTGTTTCTCTTCCCTCCCCCCTCTTCATCCCTCCATCTCTCTCGCCCCCTCTCTCTCTCTCTCTCTCTCTCTCTCTCTCTCTCTCTCTCTCTTTCTCTCTTTCTCTCTCTATTATCCGTTTCCTTGCCTCCGTATTATCCCGCCGACGCATGCACCCCTTTCGAGAAGGTCCGCGCCCGTTCCTTCAGAGATATCTACAGGGTGGTACTGCCGACATAACCAGGAATCTCCTTCGCAACTCTGATCGACAAAGTTCCTTCTGGCGGTGCCGCGAGCACACGGACGCGAAAGTTAGCACTGAGTCTACCAGCATCAACCTTCTTCCGCGCCTCCGACAGTTCTCTCTCTCTCTCTCTCTCTCTCTCTCTCTCTCTCTCTCTCTCTCTCTCTCTCTCTCGCTCGCTCACTCACTCACTCACCTCTCCATCCATCCCCGTCGTCCCGATCCCGCACACAGCCTCCTCCACGAGCTCTCACTGTCTCTCTTTCTCTCTCCTGCGATTTCTATTACCCCCGCGCCTCGTGCGCATTGCACACCACCTGGCCTCTCCTCTCACTTGCTTGAGCTCGCGCTCGCGTTGACTCGTCACCCTTCGTCGACCTGGAAGACGAGAGGAGAACACGAGTAAGTTTCGCGAAGATGGGCCAACTTTGATAAGATACCGGTTTACCCTGCACCTCGATTGATTATCTTTCTCCGTGGTGCCTCGGCGACCCGACCGCGGCCACGTACGTGTCCTTATATATGACCGAACAATGACCTCGCGGCAGGATCCGCGAGAGGATGCGAAGATCGAGGGAAGTTTTCGCGTCGCGCGAAACGCTCTCCCGTGAAATCGCAATCGATCGTTGCGGTTTGCCGAGTGCAGTAGCCGTGTACGCGACCATGTTAAAGAGCCGTGTAAATGAACCTCTCACGAGACCGTGAGGATCCTCGTGTCTGTTAATCCGGGGCCAACCGGGGTTCCGGGGATCCGGGGTGGTCGTGGAGAAAATCAGACGCGGCTGACGATTTCCACGTTCCTTTTCGAGTATATCGACGAGCGCGAGACTTTTCTTTACGATCTATTATTTGCGCGAGAATTCGGGCGAGAGGAATACGGGATATCTTGCGCGTGCGCGATCGCGCGATGCGCGAGACACAGCCGAGGCTGTTCCGGTTTTGATCCCGCTGGATCGAGAGAATTGATCATCCGCTCGAACAACTTGAAGAAATAGACGCTCCATTCAGGAAGCCACCGTACGCGTTGCCCCCCTCCCCCTCCCCCTCCCCATCTACTCACCCACCTAACCCTGCCGTCGCACGATGCGAGTTTCTAAAACCGCTACTGTATGCTCGCGCTTTCACGTAAATAACGCAGTGTCTGATCAAAGTTGGCTCCGGGCGAGATCAAAGCGAGCGCGTTTCATGGTGGCAATGATCACCGGCGGATGGTTCTCTCGCGTGAGATCTCATTAGAATCAATCCCTGCACGCGATATCTCCGCTGCACGCGCGCTCGTTGCCACGACGCCACGGCATTAATCATACACCTGCACGCGGCCCCTCGACGTCGATATTTCCCGGTGGCACTCACTCTCTCGCTCTCCTGTGGCACTTAAACCGCCTCTCGCCGTCGATATATACATCCCGACCACTTTGTACGTGCCACGACCAGGAAAGGATAGTGCAAACCTCTCCCCCCCCCTCTCTCTCTCTCTCTCTCTCTCTACACCGGCACGGTAACGGATAATCTTCGCCGGGCCCGTCCTGGAGCTTCATCCCCGTCGTGGAGAAACACCCTCGCGTTGATTCCGGATTGATAACCGGTTGCGGCTGCAGCCATTGCGCGGGACACGAAGAGGAGGAGACGCAAGGTAGACGAAGGCGAAGGAGGATCAGCGAGGCGCGAGGGCGGCACGTATGCGAGGGAGAGCGGGATGAGTTTGCGATTAAACGCGATTATAATTAAGGATAATGGAGTTTCAGCTCGGGAGTTCCCGTCGACTCGAGTCCCTTCGCAGCTGGCACCGTTATATCGAGTTCCCGTCGTCAGCTAGCGCAGACGTGTCCGTGATCCCTCTTTCTCCTTCTCTCTCGCCCTCTTTCCCTACACCTCTCTCTTCGTTATCACGAAGTGCTTTCGGTCACCCAGTGTACACATACGTATGTGAATATGTGTACACACACACACACACACACACACATATACATATACGTAGCACTAAATTTTAGGAACGTGTGAGTGCGCATTTATTCACATATAGTGGGCGGAGGTCCCATATAGTGGCTTAGTCGCTAATGAAGACCACCGTCGCGCGGCTCCTTCGCCGAACAAAGCAATGGGAATCGCTCTTCTGGGACAGGCCTCCCCTTTTCTGGGCACGTACGAGTGCGGCCGAGTGGTAACGTCTCCCGCGGGACGGCCGCCGATGGCTCGACGCGATTTTCAACTTCGACGTTACGTCCTCTCGTAGGATTTTTATGCGCGATAAGAGTTCCACGAGTTTCCTCAACGTGGATTTCTATCGGAGAGTCTTGGTGTGTCATCGGGGTGCTGTACGATACTTTGATAGCGATGAGATCGCCAGTGGATTCGCCTTGGAACTAATGAAACCAAAGAAATCCGAGTTTCAGGCAGCGATTGAGTCTTGATAACTTTGCTCGAAAGTAACTCTGCAAAATTGTTTGAAATTACAAAATAATTATGTAATAAAGTAAGGAGTGGCCATTTGCTTTTTTAAACATGGTTTTACTTAATTACACTTTCATTGGAAATTAAGGAAAGGAATTATACGATCGAAGCTTTGTTTCGGACTTATTTTAACCCAATTTAAGCTTCAAACTTTGTTTTGGAATCATTTTTTAGTTTGAAATGTTTTCACAGAGAGAGAGAGAGAGAGAGAGAGAAAGAGATTCTGGAAAGTTCGCAAGTGTTCTCATATTGAGTTTCTTCGTAGTCTTTCGGAATTATCTGTGATTGCTTTGGGACGTTCATCACGTTCGATGCAACTTGTTACATGATTAAAAATAATTTTGTAACATTTTATTAAAAAATTTAACATTATTTATATTTAACATTATATATAAAATTTAACAAATCTTTTTGTAATCAATAGTCAACTATGAAATGCAATAGTAAAACGTTTAAATTTATCTTGGACTATTATTCCTAATGGTCTTTATAGCAACCGATGATACGAAATAGCTCTCATCAATATAGGATAAATTGGATAATCTTTGTCAACAACCGATAATACGGAATACCTCTTATCGACACAATAGGTTTACGTTGCAATCGTAAACTTATTATCCTTTATGAACGGAATTAATCGTTAATTGGTCAGAAATTAATAAAAAAACGGCAAATATGGTATCTTCACATGAATAAAATATATTTATATAGATGCGTAAAAATAAACGCATATGTATGATTAAACGAACAATGTAACATTGTCGTACATGCCAGGCCGTGAGATATATAAATTGACCCGATAAGAAACATCAATTTTATTCGAAACGTGGATATTATGTCACTATATTTGTCACAGTTTGATGACTAAAAAGATCGGACTGTACAGCATTGAGAAACATCGGAACGCTGTGCTGTTTCTGCAGATATTGCTCGATCAAGTTGCTCAAGTTCACAGAGTAGGAGGTTTCCAACAGATCTACACCCCCTTCACCTACATGAAAGAAGAGAAAATCGTCTGGTGATTCCGCATATTGGCTCATCAGCTTGTAACAGCCCTCTTTCGAGCGGTCCACCCTCCAGCCGAAGAGCTGATAACACGCCTGGCGATATTCTTGCGATGAAGCCTTGAACGCCTCCTTCAAACGCGCTATTTTTATCTCGTGCATTTGCTTCAGTTCCGCGATTTCTATATCGTAAGTAAAGAAAGGGATAAAATCGCGGGACACAAAAAATCAAGCAATAGGAGAGAGATAAAAGAGGAGATTATCTATTCACCTTGTGCTTGCAACGACGACGTGGTCGCGGCAAAATTTCCTGTCGCCACTTTGCTTCGAAGTTCCTCCAACTCCTGTAACATGGCCGCCTGCTTCTCCTCGGCTTGTTTCTCTGCTATCATCGCGGGATTCATTGTATAGTGTAGTACTTTGGCGTTGCAGTTGAAGTCGCCTTTCAGCGAGCGGTGCTCAAGCTCGCCTTTCAACCGCTCGATTTCCTCTCTGAGCTTATTGCATTCGTTTTTCTGAGTGACGTCCTCGGCCGCTTGAAGATCTGCTTCCAACTTATTGACCAACTCCCTGAAGATACAATACGAAATATATTCTTTCTGACGAAATAATACGACTCAATGAGACTCGTTAGCTTAGGTGTATACCTGTAACCATCTAAAGCGCGTTCCAGAGCTGGTATTCTTTCGCTCATTGTGTTGTTACTGTCCATCGTCAACTCTTTCTCGTACCAGTCCAATTGTTGTCTATAGCTGTCTCTTTCTCTAGTGATGAGAATCATTTTCTTCTGAAGTCTGCTCACCAGCTTATTCAATTTCTCCTTGGACGATGTCACGTCGGTAGCCAACCTCTTCGCGTCCTCGTAATTTTTCGACAAATTTTGCGACTCGCGCAAAACAGCATCAAGTCTGGATCTCAACTGACCTTCTTCAGCTCTTAGATCCAATTCAGCTTGCTGAAGCCTGTTGAGTTCTCGTTTCATGGCCGTTGGTCCGCCACTAATGCCGATCGTTTCGTATTCCTGCAAGCGATGCGTCAGCTCGCATCGCTTCGCTTCCAACATTGCCGCCAACTGTTCCATCTTTTCGGTATGCTCTAGCCTGCGACGCAACATGCACGCATTATTAACAAGAGGACACGAAATTTGTATCGCAAAAGCACGAAAAATACCTTTTCGTCATGTTAGCGATCTGTTCTTCCAAGAGCAGTTTTTCCTTGACAGATTCTTTCAGTACCATTACAGTCTTCTTCAATGTGTTCAGTTCTTTCTCGAGATCGCCCACTCTCGCGGCCTTTGCTGCTAACATCTTACCCTCCTCCCACAACGCCCTCTCCGACTCAAGTTTTTCCATTTTAATCTTCATATTCTGCAATTCTACATTCTGCAGCTCAAAGTCTTGTTGTATCTTTCGATAGTCCTTCATCTTTTCCTCCAGCATCGTTGCTTTGGTTTCCGCAGCTTCTAATTTTAACTGTAACTCGCTGGATTCACTAGTTTCCTTAGGAAGTAGAGGAACAGCAGAAGGTGATTCTTTTGTAGAGTTTCTCAGCTCCTCTGTTAATTTTGCATTTTCATTCAGCAATGACGTTATCTTCTGCTCCAAGTTGGCTCTTACCTAATTATGAATTGTGGAGATACAGATTGTTAAAAATTAAAACATAAATATATCATATAAGATAGGAATATGTATGCAAATCTCATTACTTGACACCATTCTTTTTCAGTAGCAGCCTTTGCCTCTTTTACATCCTGAATTGTCCGTCGTGCAATGTCAAGACGAACCTCCAACTGCTGAATGGTCTGCTTATCCTGTTGTGTTTGGATTTCTAAGAGATTTTTTTCTTTCTCAAACATCTCCTCCAATTGTCTGCGTATCTTGTGCAGTTGTTGCACAGTTGCTTCTTGATGAGATAGTCTAGTCCTTAATGATACTATCTATATATGTATAGAAATATATTTTTCTTTCTAAAATATTCTTTCTTTTGTATGTCTGCTTGTTTATACTATTCATTATTTTTAAGTAGGCATAAGCGTAACATAATCACAAAGTAAGATTTGTATCAACTTTTATTTCTGATATTACCTCGCCTTTCAGACGCCGCCATTCCCAAGGACTACCTGGCATGGAATCAGATAGACTTTTATTAGCTACAGATGTATCAGAATCTTCAAGTTTCGCCCGTTTAGGCGAGATGATATTTTCATCACTTTCATTAAACACCAAAGATTTATAACCAGTCCCTGAGAATCTTACTCCACCACTTTTGCGATAAGATTCTGTACCAGAACGTAGATCTTTTATCATGTTTAAAACACTTGTTGGATCATCATCCATCTATAAGCAGAATGCTCCATTAACTTATAACGATATAACACTGTTTGTGTCTGATAATTATGAAATTATTGAATATATAATATATTATATGTATATACTGGTAAAAACATAAGACAAAATTCTTTGACTTTACATTTTAATGACAGTTTGTAACAACTACTATTCACTCCTTCTCGCTTTGTTACTTCCTTGTGCCAATATCTCTATTTTCTATGTTATTTTAAGAATAATACATAGAAAAGAACAACAATTAGAGAAGCCCAAACAATACATGCTAACGGATATAGCTAATATATCACTAGCGAATCGATATTCGAATTTGTTCTTGCTTGAAAGAATCGATTATTTTCTCGATATTTTATTCCTTTATCGTCTAATTTAATTAATCGTCAAATCTTATCGGTTGTTTATTCTTCTTCGTTGATAAGTAGAAACAAAAGTTCATTCTATTGTATTAATGGAGAATAAAATATGCATTCGCAGTTGAACTGAAAATAAATGGTCTGATCTATCGCTTACTTGTACTATTCCCGTTATCTGAAAATGATGTTTAATTTGATGGGCAGGAGGCGCTACCAGTCAATTCTTGATATGTACATGTGTCGAATTTCCCAATAATTCCGAGAAAGTTTGTTTCATTTCACTGTCTATCCAACTTTGAATTCATCGATGAATAGTAGGAAATCACATTACTTCGATATAAGTCTCTAATGTGCCAATTTACTCTTTGCACTTTGGTTGCACTTTAGTTGCGTATATTGTTTGCCTGGCTCTGCATCGAGTCATACTACGACTTCGATTCATCATGGCAAATGGTGGCGTCTCGTGAGAGAAGCACCGACGAGATAATTCTAAAGACTGTCAGCCTTGGCTAAATTTTCATAAAGGCAAGAGAGAGGCATAGAGGCCTGAAGATAATTCAGAGCATGATAATACCGACTGTTGCAGTTACATCGAAGATAACACGAAGATTTGTATCTTTGCCTTGTTTCTATGCCTTGTAGGTTTTTCATTTATGTAGGATTCATTTTTCACCTTTGAGGCAAAGAGAAGATAAAGAAATTGTCTCTGGGAGTTTATAATCAATGTATACGTGAACTTGAATTGCCTGAACTTGTTAATCTCGAAAGACCTGTTAATCTCGGAACAGTCTTCTCTCTCTTTATCGGTGTGTCTCGTCGGTGAGAGGAGTCGGTGGAAGGAGAAGTAACTAGACAGGTCCGTGAGCGTAGTTGAAGTGCACATTGAACGCCGCTACGTGAGGTATGCACGTTTCCTCGCCCTCCTCACAAGTTGCTTGACGCATTCGGTTGAAGTTGGAGTCGCGCGCTTAGGTGGGAGGGCCATCTCGGCCTCTGGAGATTGTATCATGTCCAAGAACAAGCACCAGGTCGACAACGGCATTGTCGCCGTCAAGAGCAAGGTGATATATATGTATATTACATGGCTTTCTCGATTGGTAGCTGATTGTGGAATGTTCAGAACTATGCATCATGTCCGTATTGTGCGTTGCAGTTTGATGCCGACATCATCAGGTTTTCTATTAATCGTGACGAGCCTATGAGTTATGAGGATTTTGGCAAGTTATTGGCACAGCGACATGACATCGGGCCCGATCTCAACTTTTTTATTTGGTATACGGATCCTACAGATGGAGATCTGCTGCCTATTAATAATGATAACAATCTGGCTAGGGCTTTGCTGGCTAGCAAACCATTGCTCAGAATTTTTATTCAGAGGAAAGGTAATAATCCTATGCTTGATTGTGTGTGTGTGTGTATGTGTGTGTACATTCTAAGCATGCATGAATATCTCTATTCAATTTAGTTGTCATTATGACAGGTGACAGATTAGAGGATATCAACGGATACGGTACAATGAAAACCAAAAATTTGATATCTAGTATTTTGGGTAGTACACCAGGCAAGCCAAAGCCATTAGCTATCTCTAATCCACATGATTTTAGGCAGGTGAGTTTTCACAGTGTACTTTGTCATGCATCACTTTCTCTATACGCTCTACTAAACTAGTTTGTCATATAATTGCTTTTACTGCTAGGTGTCTGCAATCATTGACGTCGATATACTGCCAGAAACTTGTCGGCGTGTACGTCTTTTAAAACATGGCTCAGACAAACCCTTGGGATTTTACATCAAGGATGGTGAAAGTTTTCGTATATTGCCACCATCTGCTGGTGGTGGAATCGAGAAGGTACCGGGTGTATTTATTAGCAGACTGGTACCAGGTGGCTTGGCAGAAAGCACAGGTCTTTTAGCAGTCAATGATGAAGTTTTAGAAGTGAATGGTATTGAAGTTGCTGGGAAAACACTCGATCAGGTGAGTAATTCTTCCAAGTTTTAGTCACACCATGATGCATTAGTGATAGAATAGAGTAAAACATGGTAGATAAAATTTACTTTGAACTGTTAGCATAACATCTCTCATTTATTTTTATACTTTTGTATAATTAGTCACATTTTATCTATATTGTTGATAATATTTTATTCTAAATATTTCATTCTAAATATTTGCGCGACAGGCAAGAATGTAAATGAGATATCTGCGTAACAAATTGGCGAATTATTTGTTGCACTCAATTATCAATTAATATAACAGACGCAACGCGTCTTTGCGTTTAATTCTCTTCAATTTTTCTTAATATTATTGCATTCATGTGAGAGCAGGTGACGGATATGATGATAGCAAATTCGTCCAATCTCATCATAACCGTCAAACCGGCGAATCAGAGAGCGGCATTGGCCGCACCTCGTCGCGGCTCATTTTCACGTAACAGCCAATTATCGTCCGGGAGCCGTCAATCTACACAAAGCGCCGGCAGTGACGAGGAGGCAGACGAGATCGTTGATTTGACGGGTTTGACGATGCAGGACGACGCCTCTGCGTCGTCGGGCACTCAACATCATCACTATCATCATCATCATCATCATCATCACCAAAATCACTTCAGCCACGATCAAGGTGTGCTGCATCTCTAAGACGACGACGATGACGATAATGACGACGATGATTGGTCGTACCGAATTAAGTGCTCAATTTAACCCTTTCGCTGCGGCGCGCTTTCATCGAAAACCGTCCATTGGGTGTGCTGAGCGATATTGGCGTTTAAAAATTTTTACGTACTAATGTATGCAGATTCTACACCAACGCATATATAAAGTTTTTCAAGTTGTATGTAAACGCTTTGCTGTCTGCAAATGAGAGGCTACTTTTTGAGGGCGTGTATACACGGCTTCCTCAGCGCAAGGGTTAATAACGTCCGCTGTATTTGCTCGTAAGAGAGAGAGGGGGAGAGAGAGAGAGACGGGGAGAAAGAGAGAGAGAGAGAGGTTATTTACTTAATATACATAAGATATCGATGTATGTATAATATACATCGCATATATAAGATATCGATGACAATATAGCAAGACTATTGATCGTTGGTTATATTTACGCGTTCACCTGATAGAGGTTTCTCTTTCGGCTCATGAAGACAAATTGTCGTCAAATGTTACTTACTCTTTCTCTTTCCGCTTCTTTCTGTTTTTTTCTCGACACAACTAGTCGCAATTTCTCTCATAATACTGTCTTTCAGAAAAGGTCTTTTTTTCTTTTTTCTTCCCGACACTTCTATCTTTTTCTCGGTGTATTTCTCCTTTCGTTTTTTTTGCGCTGTGTTAATACCTCGATACTTTGTAAATAGATAATATCCATTTGCGTTCTCGCAGATACAAGAGATATCGTGCTTTCGCACGCAGAACACTCGTTCGAATCGACGTGGAAGCCATAGAGTAACGTAATTCGCATTCCAAGCTATTGATTTATAAACTCGAAGACGTACTTTACATTCACGTGCGTGATCAACGAACTCCTCACTTTTTCACTATCGCTTTCTCCATTTTTCCTCCTTACGACAATCGGCTTGCCAAATAACTTGATGATTCTCCAAGATTAACGCGATTATTGTTGTATATTGTATCGAATTAAATGCTCAATTCAATCCTTTCGCTGTGCCGCACTTTCATCGAAAATCATTCAATGTGCGCTGAGCGATATTCGCGTCTCGGTCTATGGAACATGCTATCGGAATCAGAATCACGCATGCGGCTAGTCTATATATTCCACACACGAGAAATAACCTACCTGAAAATTTATTTACAAATCTACAATTATGTTAGATTGAATTCAAGCAGGATTAAGCTTAAACTGTATGTCATAACAAATTTTACACATACACACACACACACATGACAATAATTACGTTAATCTTAGAAAATCATCAAGTTATATGGCAAGTTAACGTAAGAAGATTAACGTAAGAAGAAGGGAGAAATGGAGAGACAGCGAGGAATTAACGTAAGGAGGAAGAAATGGAAAAAGAGTGAAAAAGAGAGGAGTTCGTTGGTCACGTAAATACAAAGTACATCCTCGAGTTTATAAATCAATGGCTTGGAATGCGAGTTGCGTTATTCTATGACTTCGATGTTAATTCGAACGAGTGCTCCACGTATGAAGATACGATATCTCTTGTATCTGTGAGAATGAAAATAGATCCTTGCTTAGAACAATGGATTACACAATAATAACATTCTTTCCGACTCGTATACAAATGGTAAATATATTGTATTTTCACATTTTCAAAAAGAAAACGGCTCTTTTTCTTTTTATAATATATAACACATGATCTGTTACGTGAGGTGCCGAATGTTCGAGCGGATGAAAATGAATTGTGTGTTCCCGCGCTCTTTTTACCATTGTTGAATTTACCATTGACATTTGCGCGCAAAACCGATGGAATTCCATCTCGAACAAAACAAAACATCTTCCCTCGCGGATTCGTCTACTATGTATTTTATCTAGAACAAAAGGGGTGTAAACGGGGACAGGGGTTAAGTGCCAAAATAGATCCTCGTCTGGAGCACACACACATACACCTTTCTCTTTCTTCTTCTAATATGTATATGTCCTTTCAAATTGTCTAGAAAACTTACAAAGTATCGAGATTTATGCACAGAAAAATGAGGGGAAAAGTACGTCGAAAAAAGATAAAAGTGTCGGAAAGAGAAAAGGAAAAAAGACAATTTCTGAACAATATTATGAGAGAAATTGCGGTTGGTTGTATCGAGAAAAAGATAAAAAGAGACAGAAAGAGAAAGACTGAACGGCATTTGACGGCGATTTGTCTCTATAAACCGAAGGAGAAGCCTCTCAGATATACGCGTAAATGTAAACAACGATCGATAGCCTCGCGAGAGGTAATACCCGGTGCAAACATTCTTGATAGTTTGATAGGGAACGATGCGAAAGCGCCTTCGAGAGGAAGTGGCCTTACCGCGGTATATATCTCTCTGTCGCATTCCAGTTGCGCGTCCTTTGAAAACGATATAAAGAAAAGAGAAGAAAAAGAAAGAAAACGAAGTATTCCCGTTGCGTAAGCGCATTCATACACGCCTATTCGTGTATCGACTCCGTCTACTCCATCGCGTGTTTACACAGTGTTAAAGTTTTCGAATTTTAATTTCATTTCTATCTGTGTTATATATATCTGTTGACCGATCGCGAATCGAGGATCGAGGAGACGAGGTGAGGCGTTTCAAGGCGGTAAATAACGACGAATCCGCACGTGTAGTAAAGTATCGCTCTTAATACACATTGTGCCTTCGTCCGAATGGTATTAATACGTTAGATGTAGTATTACATTCCGATTGTATATTTTACACACCGTCGCAGAGGAAGCAAGAAGCGAGATGGCGTGTTTCCCTAAGAAATCTATACTGCCTCGATATGGTTACGCGCGAGTTTGTTTTCGACATGTTCGCTCGATCCTACTTTTTCTACGCAAGCCTATTTTTCTACACGATTCGGAGGGACATGTACATATTAGAAGGAGAGAGAGAGAAAGAGAGAGATATATATATATATATGTAAACATATACTCTATAAATAATGTAACTATATACAATTTCTATATCTAGTTTATTCTTTTTGCTGAAACGCGAAATGTATTACATACGTGGACTTCCATAGTGAACGATGTCGTCTCGACGGATCGTTCCGTAGCCAAATTCTCGCGTTAATTTTCGTTATTTTATTAATTTTCGTCCGCTTTGCAAACCACCGAGATACGTATGTATTTCCAGCTCGATTTTCACCCGCTCGAACATTCGGCGCTTATGCCTCTCATAGCAGATCATGTATTATTTAAAAGGAAAAAGAAAGTGACGTTTTCTCTCTTTGAAAATGATGCGATATATTTATCGTATGTGTACGATTCAGAGAGAGAGAGAGAGAGAGAGAGAGAGAGAGAGAGAGAGAGAGAGAGAGAGAAAGAAAGAGTGTTTCAGTGAGAGAATAAGGATCCAGCGTAATATCGTATAAGATGATCATGTTAGCTTTATTATTGCGTACTTTATTGCTTTAGACGAGGATCTATTTTTGTACTTAACCCCTGTCCCCGCTCCCTGTTCCCGTCTACACCTCCTTTGCTCCAGATAGAATATAAATTAGACAAATCCGCGAGGGAAGTTGTCTTGTTTTGTTCGAGATGTGGAAGCGACTGTCGGCTTCTATCGGTTTTGCATGCAGACGTCAACGGTAAACTAGAGAGCCCTCGCGGGAACACACAAATGGAATATATATTCTAGGCGATAACGCGTGCAGCATTCTACTACTTAAGCGAATAAGAGAATAGCTATACAATCGCAAGAACGGAAAGTGTACTTATTGATGCTGTAATTATTTTTAATGGCAGCTTACAAAATAAAGATATTTTATTGTATTTTTTAAGCGCCACACTCTTTCTGTTTCCGTCGTAACGCTCCAACCACCTGAACTTAGAGAGTTACCAGAATCGAAAATCGAGTAATCTAGGCAGACCTCCCAAAAAAGAAAACCGAAGAAAAACCGGAAGTGTAGTTTGTAAAACTACATTTCTTGAAAAATATGGTCGATGGTTAAAGAATATTTGATAATCTCGACTTTTGATAATAGGGAGTTTTTGCAATATATCATTTTTCAAATCGTACGATAAACGTAAATCGTGAACGTTATTCGCTCAGAAATAACGTCACAATGTACGCGACCAATAGCATCCACGATTTACCGTATCTAAGTGACGGTATTGCAAAAACTCCCCATTAACTGGCACCAACCGAATGTCGACGGTAAAATCTCGGCAACTGGCAGCTTCGATTGAACCGCGTCCCCCCGCCGGTCGCGCGTTCAGGATCGATATTTCTCTCACTCTGCTTGGTTACTATGGTGTATAAATAAAATACGGCAGGAGTCAACCCTGAAAATCCATTAACCTCGCGCGCGTCATGATTTCTCGCGACAATTAAACGACCGGGCAGTCGCTCGAGCGCAAGAGGCGGTTGTGATCCGCGCATTCCGCGGATAGCCGATCGAGTGAAGAACGAGAGGCTGAAGCCGCGGCGATCATGTCCTACGCCGAGCATGGACCGCGCATCTTTTTGGCGGGCAGGCCGGACAACGATGCGCATTCGATTTACGGCGATTACGTCGCGCCGCAGAAACGATCGGAGGGTCGCTTGAAGATGTACGAATCATGCAGGGATATTCGAGCTTGGAGCCCGAACGTGCTGGAGAACACGCGTTATTTTCGCGAGCTCAGCGAGCACGCCACTACTATCGTGGTTGGTACACATCCTCGCCACGTTGATCTCTTGAGCCTTTCGAAATATATTTATTCATCTACTACTCGGTGCATTGTCGTCATTGCCATCAAGCCCGGTTTAGGATAGGTCGCAAAAACCCAGTTGCAAGTTGCGAAAAATGGCAACTACTGATTACAAAGTGCTATTTTCGGTTGTAAGAGACAGTTGCGATTGTCGCTTGACGTCGCCAAGAAGTTAAAAATTGGGCAACTCTTGCATTTTAGCAACCGCAACTGTCTTACCAGCGAAAATAACACTTTATAACTAAGTAGTTGCCATTCTTCGCAACTCGCAACTGGGTGTTTGCAATCTATTCTGGACCGAGCTCTGGTCAAATTAAAGGATTCATCCATTTTATTCGAGAGAGATAGAGCGTAAGTGAATTTCTCTGTGCTTCTTCGGATGACTTCGAGGAAAAAATAACAATTTCGCAAAATAGTAATCCTTACAAAGGAAAGGTCTAATTTCAGCTCGAAGGCTGAAATTTTCAGTCCTCCTTTCGTTAAGCCTCGGTAAACCCGCCGCCGTGTTATTAAGACGATTTTATTAAGAGGGAAAAAATATACGTGAATTTTCATTTTGTTCTTTAGAACAAAGAAAGACTTGGAAAGAAAAATAACAATTACGAAATGTCAATATAAACAGATGGAACCGTTTAAAGAGCTCGACTCGAACGTACTCGATGGTCAAGCAAAATTCCGCGAAATATTCTGAGCGATCGCGATAGAACGTTTTTCAACGACCGATCTTGGAATTTGGGGCATTATCGATCAGTCGGAAACGCAACCGCGAAGTTCAAACACACACACACACATGTGTACGAATGCTCTCTTTTGCATCGCACATTGTGTGTGTGCATGAATAACTAAATTATTCACGTTTATTTAACGGGCGAACGTTACGAATATAGTATACTACTAATTAAATTACTTCGCAGTTGTTTATCGAACGTAAATCGCGCTCACTATTTTACAAAGCACGCTCCGAACATCGCGCGGCGAGCAAGGGGGAGAAACGTGTTTCTCGGTCTCTCTTTTTGCAGCCGGGAAAAGTGGTGCCGTTCGACGTCGTGATGGAGAACATGATAGGGCTCACGGCTCAGGCTCAGAAGGAGCTTCGCGCCGCGCAGCGAGAGTTGCAAAAATACAAATCCCTGAAGCTCACTCCGGAGCAACGGCAGCACCTGAAGCGCTTTGTGAGCTTTTCCCAATAAATGATGCGACGGGCATTAAATATTTCAGCGGACCGTTAACGTAGTTCTCCGTACTGTTTGCGTTTGCAGGACAAGGCTAACGTCGAGCGAGACGCCGATCGGGCGGCGCTGGGCGAGCGGAAGGCGGAAGAAGCGAGCGTCAGACCTGCGATAAAACCTCTCCTCTCGCGAGAAACGTTATTGTTCCACCCGGGTAGACTCACCTGCTCGCGACACTCGCCCAATACGTATCTGTCCATGTACCTGTATCCCGACCAGCGATTCCGCTATGACAAAGAAATCTGCAGCTCGCTGCTGGCTGGTATGTACATCTCCAAGGAGAACCGCTTCACGAGTTCGTCGTCGACGGAGAACGAGACTTATCTGGTGTCGCGCGTCACCTCCTGCGATCTGCTTAATGAAGAGAAAGTTACGCGAGGTAACGGAAAGAAAAGAAAAAGAAAAATAACGAGGAGAGGTTTCACTCCCGCGCGTCGAGAATCGAGCTCGGCGTTTTTCTCACTGTGAAAGATTCACGACGAAGCGTCGGGAGGCCCGTCGTCTCGGCAGTGATGAATTTTGCAGAGTGTAGCAATCAGACGAGTATCTGTATCGAGTACGTCGACGCGTCCTCCCAAGCGGGCCAGACGATGCGCGAGGTGTGCGTGCAGACGGACGAGTGTAAGGACGCGAGGGACGTCGAGGATGACGGCAACGGAAGGATGCGGCGCGACGTCGACTCGTGCTCGAGCCAATACTACGGGAGCAGCGAGAGCGGCTCGGCGTCGGACTGCAGGTTCCAGCTGCAGGCCGCGGCTGACCTCGACGGAGATTCCTGCGAGGACAGTCACAAGCGAACCATCATCCAGAAGGACTCGGAGATCATCGTGCTGAAGAACGAGCTCGGTGTACGCCAAGCGACAGCGCGACATGCTCGGCTCGAATGGCCGCCGGCTTTAGCGCGACGAATTCCTCAGGGTGAACCGCGAGTAAACCGCCCTCACCGTTTCAGATGAAGGAGGACGAGCTGGAGGAGCTGCGGGAGCTGAACAGGCGCTTGGAGGAGAGGCACGAGAACGCGAAGATCTTGAGGCGCAATTTCAATGTAAATCGATCTCTTTACCTTCAACCGAGAACTCGCGCGATCATTTAGACTACTCCTCCTTTCGCAGATCCTGCAGAAGAAGCTACAGATAGTGAGCGAGAAACACATGAGCGAAGCGAATGAATTAAGCGCGAAAGTAATACTTTGTCTCTCTCTCTCTCTCTTTATCGCACAGGAAAGGATATATGTAAATCACGTTCCATTTCCCTCTTTCTTTCCTTTCTCAATTGGGACCTGCCATTCTCTCCTTAGCTCTCCGCCTCGGGGTGTCTGGTGGATCAGTTGAAAGCGGAGTTAGCTAGAAAGTGTCAAGTTTGTCACTCGCAGTCGCAAGAGATCCAGCAACTTCGGGAACAACTGAAAGACGCGGAATTACTTTCCATAGAGAACGAGTCTCTCGCGGTTGGTACATACAGAAACTTATTTTAACGCGCGCGTGTATACGGTATACGTGTATACGGTACATGTATACATCTCGCGAGAAGTAGAGCGCGCTTATTGAAGAAACCGATACGACGGATCAATCGAGCCGGTCTTGTCCGGCGGAGTCCTTACGATGAATTAACACGCGTCATAAATGCACTCGATTAGAGGAAGGTGGAGGAAATCGAGTGTCTGTCGAAGGAAGCGGAAAGCCGCGGCGTTGCTTTGGAGCAGGTGAGGAGCGTCTGGCGGCAGTTGGATCTTCTTCAGGAGCACTGTCGCGAGCAGAGCTGCACGCTAGCCGACCGAGAGGACGAGATACAGCAGCTGCTGATGTTGATAAAGCAAATGTCCGTCAGCTCCGACAGTCGCGAGGTGCGTTACTTAGCTCGCGCGCGTCGCGTTCATGTTTTATTCATTAATCGCCGCGGTTGGCTCGATGATAATGATAACGAGACGTAAATTTTCAAGGGGCTACCGCTGCGCGTTCTTTCTCGGTGCTTTATTTACGGGAGCGTAAATGATCGAGCGCGTTATGCTGGCTCGCGGCGCAGCGCCGATTATCGAAGCTGCGTCATCGTGAGGGAAATTTCAGATAGCGAAAATAGAGAAGGGAAAAGATACGCGATAAGACCATTTCTCAGTGACACCTGGGTTTCTTTCCTTTTTTGCAGACGCGACGCGAAATCAATGTTATCATTGCGCGACGTACGAAAATATCAGGTTATTGTAGAAATGATTAAATGAATTGCAATTGTGACGTGGCGCCGGAGGCGCGTAATAATGTTGAAAATAATGTTAAAACTCATGAGACCGAGCTCTTCGCGAAGAAGTTGCGACATGCATAAAAGTGCACGGTGATTGTTCACGGGCAGGTAGAGGTGAATGAGATGAATGATGCAATAGCCGACTTGAGAAATGAGATTCGGGCGAAAGACGACAAGATCTCGCAGTACAAAATGCAGCTGGACTGCATCGAACGGGAGGTCGGTAATTTGACTAGCATGCTGAAGAGTAACCTGAACGACTTGGACGAGTCTAAAGTGGCGTACGAGAGTATTTGCGAACGCATCAGGTGCGAGCACGACACTTGCTTGGACGTGCAGAGCGCGGTGGCCACCTTGGGAACGTTCATAGCCGCGTTGGAGGAGCACAGACGAGAACGACGGGATCGTCTGCAGGAGATAGATAGCTTAAAGGCTTTCATGGCGTGCTACAGTCGAGAAACCGTGAGCGAAATCGCGAACATGGATTTTTATACCGGACACGAATTGGTTCAGTCGCAAGCTATAGGTACGTTTCTAGTCAACTCCTTTATTCCTGATGAATGTATACTTCACGATGCTCGAGAGTACACCTTAGCTTTTAGTTTCTTAAAAAAATTTCTCAGAAACATACGTAATTTTTCAAGAAATGACTGGCCGATTGATGAAAGTTTGTTGTTCTACAGACAAAAGTATTAGTAGAGATTAGTTTTAATCGATGCGAAAACCCAACAATATAGATGTTGAATTTCTCTGGGATATATACGTGCCTATGTAAGAAGAAGTTAACGCGTCTTGAGAGAGATTTCCAAGACAGAGTTTGACGAGAACTTAAGATTCATTTATGTACGTGAGGGGTCGATAACGTTGCAGAAGACGTTTCCACGTGGAGCGATCGCTCGTCCAAGGAGCTGGTTCACGTGCAAGTCCAATCGGACGAGGTGGAGACCAGCACTACGTGTTCCGACTCATCGCGCTTGAATCAAGTGATCTCGAACGAGAGGATCGATCGCGTCCTCGTGACGCATTTCGAGCGACACATCAACAAGATGTCGGAGATCCTTCAAGGTACTACCGTGTAAGATACCACCGTGTCACGTAGCTCTCTCGACACGCGCGACACGCGCCGCTTGACGGTCGACGATGTTTTATTAAGGAGCCGAAGATCAACACGTGCAGATCGTCAGGGAGCACGCGAAGCAGCGGCAGGAGCTGCTGAAGAAGGACCACGAAATTACCGAGTTGAGGCAGAGGGTGGCGGAGCATACGTTACGCAGAGGCGAAGGCGACTGTATGATGCAAGAGCAATTTCGAAAGAGGTTGCTCGAGAAGGAGAGGGCCTTAGAGATGCTGATCGGCGAAAGAGATTCGGAGATCGCGCGGCTGCGGCAGTGCGTAGACGCGCTGGAGGAGCGAGTCTGCGCTTACCGCGAGGAGCGCGACACCTTGAAGAACGAGAACGCCGATCTTATTGACGCGAGAGGCGCGCTCGCCAGGGAGAACGAGGCGCGTCGCGAGGAACTGCGAGCACAGGGCGATCAGATGCGCGAGCTGACCCAGAAGATGGACCGCTTGAAACTGACTATCGAGGTCTTGCAGAAGGAAGCGAACGATATCGACGATCTCAAAAAGAAGTTGGTAGCTTTGTCACAGGAGAGGTCTAAGTTCTTCCTAGAATCCTGTTGATCTTGCGTTTCGTTGTTTATTTATTTATTACGAGAAGGACAGCGAAGGAAATGAAAGCGTGCAATGTTTCTTTCAGAATATAGCCATTGTGTAAAAATTTACCATCTTTTGAAAGGAACGTGCAGAGAAGGTAACGAGATTTGACCAGAAAGTTTGCCATGTGAATCTTTGGAAAAGAATTATAAAATTGCTATCTAAAATATGCACTGTGGAAATGCTCTAAGAGAGAAATCTTGCGATTCCTTTTCCGCTGTCTTTCTCGTACATTAACCTTCTAAGTCCGTGAGATGACTATAGTCGTCGCTACGCGTATACTCCTCAGAAAGCCGTGCGATGCTTTAAGGCATCGCGAAGTTATTCGCGAAGATTTTCATAAAGCAATATATACTTTTCTTTATCTTTTGATTCCAATATCTAAGTCTTTGTGTATAATTTGGTTTTGTACAGAGAATATGCTCGACTTGCTGGGAATTGGAGTTAAGGAAAAATTCGTCCGCAAAGGGTTAAACTCACGAACGTAACGCACTTTTGGCTAACTTGACTTTCAGGCCAGCTCGATCCGCCCAGTCAGAATCATAACGTTGACTCGACGTTGATTTGAAATGGTCGATGAAACGTTAATGCAACCCTCATCGACGTCGAATGAACGTCATGGTTCTGACTGGGCGCTCTTCCTTCTTGTCTGGACATCTCTTATCCCGAAGGACGTTTCTCTCTCGATCGGTGTTTCCTAAGTCGTCACTCGCAGATTGACGGACCTGCGGACGAGGAACGACGACCTCACGAACAAACTCATCCAGGCCAACGAGACGATCCGCGAACACGCCGATATCATCGCGGACCTGAAGAGCCGGGACGAGAAGAACAGGCTGGCTTTGACGCGCGGGGATATGAAGTACGACGCGATGTTAACGCAAAAGCTCGACGACATTGCGAGGCTGCGGGACGAGAACCGGTCGTTGCGCGATCAGCTGAGCGAGGTTGAGATTAAGCTCACCCACAGCAACGACACGATCTTGCTGTTGAGGAACGAGAGCGACAGCGTGGCCGCGATAAGCGCTCTGCGGACGAGTCTGACGGGCTTGGACGAGGATAAGGAGAAGCTGCTGGCGCGAGTGGATAGTCTGAGAAGCGAAATCGCAAGCTGCGAGGACTCGACGGAACGCGTCGCGAGCGAGCTGCGCGAGTTATCGCGTCAGAACGAGACACTGAGGGCGGACCTGGAGACCGTGAGGAACACCAACGATCAATTGTTACGAGCGCGCGAGAACGACGCTGCGAAACGACCGTTGAAGGACGCCCTGTGCACGCTTCCCGGCAGAATTTACGAGAGAATCGCGCGTCTTCGAGAGGACGACGGCGAAGAGCGCGGTAACGGAGCCGCGCACGGCTCCGTGAAAGTTGCGTCAAGTCGTCGCGGCGACGAGGCCACTCTCGGCGCCGAAGATGACGGGAAAGAGCGATCGACGAAAGTGCGCGCCGATGAGGTACACGCGAACACGCTGGTTAGCCCAATTTTTCCTCCCTTTCTCCCTCTTTCACCCTCCCTCCCTCCCTCTCCCTCTCTCTCTTTCTCTCTCTCTCTCTCTCTCTCTCTCTCTCTCTCGCTCATCAACACGCGCCCGCATTCCGGACTAATGTTCGTAATTTTCTCGTCGGTCTTGTCAACAGCAGGATGAAGAATTTGACACGAACCAACGCACGCGTGATGAATTAGGTTCGGCCGCTCGTGAGGCGGCTGGTAATTCCGAGCGGGCCGCGCATAAGTTGCGACTCCTGGAAGCACAGCGCGAGGAGCGGGAAGTGAAAACGTTGATGAACGACGTGCAGCTGAGGGACCTGGAGATTAAGAATCTTCAGGAATGCGTGAGCTTCCTGCTGCGGGAAAAGAACGACCTGCAGAACGAAGTTAAGGTGCGCGCGAGAGAGAGAGAGAGAGAGAGAGAGAGAGAGAGAGAGAGAGAGAGAGAGAGAGAGAGAGAGAGAGAGAGAGAGCCGTGTGGCAGAGATGCGCGTTACATTTTCCTCACGTAGGCTATATAGCCCATATAAACCGTGTACCTTAATTTTGTGTATCTTACCCGACGCTGACAGCGTCAGGTAGAGGAGTATCAGAGCAAGTTGGCGTTATTGAAGAGAAAATACGACAGCAGCTTAAGCGCGTTTCGCAAGCGGCACAATGAGAACGTGGAGCGACTGCAGGCGCGGTTCGAAGACATTATGAAGATCGAGAGGAGCCCGTTCGACGCGGAGAGCTGGCTGCAGGTGCGCGGCAAAGAGAAAAGAAAGCGGTGGAGACAAATAACTTGTTTTTCTTTTTCTTTTTTTTTTTTGCGGCCGGTAGTTTGTCAGTAATCGTTCGTTCTAGTCGCTGAACTTGAAGGAGCTGGCGGAGCTGAATAATCGAATCGATATTCTGAGCTCGCGCGCGGCCGCGGCCGCGGCCGCGGCCGCGGCCGCCGAGGCGGATATTGCGCACGTCGTGGAGACGAGTCACCACGCTAGTCGCCGGAGCGGTAATCCCGCGGAGCGCAAACCCCACAACAAATTCACCCTGCGCAAGGAACGCGCGCGCCAGAACAGAACAATGTCTTTGAGCGGCGGCGCGACTAAGAGGGAATCCAGCGGCAAAATTTGCGACGCCGGGAGCAAGAGGAAGGCCGTCGTCGAGGAATTGTACTCGCGCGACTCCGCGTACAAACGGAAACACCGGTGCGAGATTTACGAGACTTTACTTCACGCGCAATTGTTTGTTAATATTTACGAGTACCTGCGAGCAAGCAGGTCGGCCTGTTCCTTTTCAAAGGACTAGTCCACGCTTTGGCGACTTGAAAAGGGACACATGTGCGGTTGAGACTTGCTGGCAGGGAAGAGGAAGAGAAAACTACCGCAAAGTAGTGGAGGGGAGCGCAGCGAGAACGAGTAGACTGTGTGATCGCGATATAGTTCTGGTCCTTTTAGCTGCGCCGGAACGTTCTTCCCATTTCCCTCCACTGCTCGCTTAGCAGACGCTTATTCCGCTTTGGAGAAAGAAAGTACAGCCTAATTTAGCTAGAAAGGAGACGCACCCGCCTGTGTGTGTCTGTGTGTGTGTATGTGTGTGACGGCACTCTAATCGCGCGCGTGTTTCTCGCGATGACTATTCAGACATCTCGACGAGGACGCGGAGAAGAAGCCACGGTCCGGCCACACGGAGCTGGCCGAATCCGGGACAGACCAAACCGTGAGTACACGGTCAATAATTAGCGAGCTTGCAGTCGCACCCGCATCATCGTATGAAGACACACAAGCGTACAATATGATGTACCTTTCAGCTCGACTGGCAGAGGGAGAAGTTCATCTACGGGTGCAGCGTACATCACAGATTGAGCAATGGCCGCTGATACGACCGCACGTGTACGACCGTCCGTGTGATTCGTAACGCAGAGTGATGTTAAACGTACGAAGGGAGGGGAGGCGCAAGATATTTCATCATTTTCACGAATTGCCTTATTACGTGATCGCGTAATCGCTCGCTCGCTCGCTCGCTAATGTAAGATCGGCGAGATGTATATTTCACGAGGGTCACCTCTCTCCGTCACGGGCAGAGAGAACGTGGCGGGTGAGAGTGAACTGATTAATTTTTACATACCCTTTTCTTCGAGCATATATATACGTGTGAAGGAACTTTTTGACCTTTTTACCTGTGTGCGTCCTGTTATTGTTTGTCTAACTGATGTTATACTCTCTTCGTAAAGAGAGCGTGTATTTAGAGTGGAGTTTGTAATAAACTTACATCACACGAAGCACGAAACGAGCTTCCCTCCCCACTCACGCGCGAATAACCCCCGAAAAATACGGACGAACGAACGAGCGAGCGGACGGACGAGCAAACGTCTCAACGAAGGGAGGAGCCTCGCTACCGGTGTGGCGCGTCCTTCGAGGATTCCGCGGATCCATCGAAATTCACCCTCGCCCGGGAGAGAACGTTTGCTTGCTCGAGCTTGCTGGAGCTTTGTGCTTTCGCCAACTGACACAGACAATGTGTTTTACGCACACTGCACGCGCGCTAGTAAATAGCTCACGATAATTGTAGTGCTCGCGCCGACGCCGACGCGAAACTCGCTTTTGATCAAGCTCCGGCAATGACTTGGCGTCGAGGAACAAGAAAGTGAAACTCCGGCAGTAGTAGCGGAAGACGGAAGAGCCGCTGGCGATTTGCAGAGCGGTAAATTGCATTTATCGCTCGTTTAAGGGGGTTAACGTTATTGCTGAAGGCATGAAACATCATGACGACGACAGCATTGTGTACGGCAGTGGTGATGATAAAGTCGACCATCAACAACCAGATGTGTTCTTGCCCACACAGATCTCACACGGCTGTGTGAGTCGCGCTATTCTCTCTCTCTCTCTCTCTCTCTCTCTCTCTCTCTCTCTCTCTCTCTCTCTCTCTCGGTCTGTATTACATATATATATAATTATATCGCTTTGCACGCACGATTATTTCTCTCTGTGTACTCGTCGTAAAGCGGGAGCCGGCGAAACGGGGGAACGTGAGAGAGATACGCGAGCTTGCGCACTCGCGGTGCCATCCAGCGCAGCCTCCAGGATCCTCAAAAAGGGGTGGCGGACGCGCGTGTCGCCGCATAGGCGGAGAGCAGGGTGAGCTTGTCGGTGGGTAGGTCGGTCGGTCGGTCGGTCGGTCGTTCGGTCGGTCGGTCGGTCGGTCGGTCGGTCGGTCGGTCGGTCGCCCTCGCGCGTCAGGCACGTCGCGACCCCCAACACAGCAGCATCGTCGCATCCGTCCCGACTATGAGAAGAGCGTCGGGTGCCGCCGCCGGCTGTCACCACCACCACGGGACGTCGTCTCCGTCGGCGTCGTCGTGGTCGTCGTCGCCGTCCTCGTCGCCGTCGCCGTCGCCGTCGCCGTCGCCGTCGTCCTCGTCGTCATCGTCGGCGTATTGTTCGTCCGTATCTTCAGCTCGGTCGTGCCGGAAATAAAAGCCGGCAGTTTTGCGGCAGCAAAAGCCGGGGTGATAAAAGCCGACACCTCCTGGAGGAAGCCGCGGGCGTTGCCTTCGTCATCCATCACGAGGACCCGTCACGAGAAGCACCGCGGGGATAAAAAAAGGAAAGAGAGAAGGGAACCGGCGAGCGAGTCAGGGACTTTCTCTCCGTCCGGCGGATCTCACGGCCGAAGGGGAAGATAATTCGGCGGAAGGAAGAAGGGAAAGAAGAAGAAGAAGAAGAAGAAGGTGGAGAAGAAGAAAGTCACCGAGATCTCGCCGGAAAGGCCAACAGAAAGTGGATGGGATAGCGGAGAAAGGGTATGCGGTCTTGAGAGCACGTAACAAACAGGTGGCGAGGCGGGATCCTCCGTCGAAGGCCTCGGTTCTGCCGAAAGAGAGGGCGGATATATCACGAGGGGTGTGAGAGAAAGAGAGAGAGAGAGAGAGAGAGAGAGACAGACAGACACACGCGCGCACACGAAAGTAACAGGTATTGTGACACAAAGATACGCTCCTTTCTGAATTTTATCGCGCTCACTCCCTCCGTCTCTCTTGCGCTTTTCTCTTTCTTCTACTTCTTCTTCTTCTTCTTCTTCTTCTTCTTCTTCTTTTTCTTGTTCTTCCTGCTCGTCGTTCGACGCCTTTATCATCCAAGAGGGAAACTTTAGAAGTTGTGGACTACGGAGGGAGAGAAAGTGATAACACGAAGAAAAGAACCCCCCCTTCCGCGTTTGACAAACTCACGCGTCCCGAGTGCCACTTTCGCGCTTTTCCCGCTCTCGTCGAGACTCCTTGCTCTTTCTCCCGCTCTCTTTTCAGCTGCTCTTCGGAAATTTTTGACTTTTCCGCCCGTCGCGTCTCGGGACAGGTCGACGATCCTCCCGCGGATTTATCGACGGGAGAAGCCGCGAAATGCCCGTTAACGTCGGGCAAAAGGGGGCTTAAATTATGCAGACGCACGAGTCGTTTTCTCTCCCTGCGCGGTATCTCTCTCTCTCGTGTTAGCTTCGAGACCTGACGGACGGAGAGAGGACGCGTTTTCCGCGTTTAATTTCGAGCGGACGCAATAACAACGGCTGCCGATAATTGAAACTGCCTACGGGGTGATAAATCGGCTAAACTGCGTAATTAATAATGAATTTGGAAAATATGCGGATATTTTTCAAGCAATACGTCTGGCGGGGAGATATATCGCTGCAAATTGTATCCGCATCGTTGGATATAACGGGAAACTTCTAAAGTATTCCGACACAGGCGGCTCTTTTTTTCTCCTTTCTCCTCTCTTTCGTTTTACACAGAAAGTTATTGTATCGCAAATATTTCCTCTTGTAAACGGATACTTTGAAACCCTTTCTATTTTAAACACTTTAACGACGTGAGAGCTACGATAAACTCGCAAAACATAAAACGTCAATTGATCTTGATCGTTTTGTCGAGCCATTGAACTATCGAACGCCGCAAATTCGTACTAAAAAAGATACGTAGGTATCACAGAACGACAATATCGTCGTTGCTACGCGTCCGAGTACGAGTTTACGATCCTTTTATTCATCTCAGCGTATTCGGCGCGTACAGACCGGATGAGATCGAGGACCGACGAGAGAAAACCGGAGAACAAGGACTTTCTTCGCGATTTGTGTGACGTGCGCAATGGGATCCGAAAAATCCGACATTATTCTCTCCGACATACCTCCGGCGTTCCTTCGTGTCGGATACGAGGACCTCGAGGATTAATACACGCGCGTACGCATGGCATGTCGAGGGTTGCGCTCGTCATCAGTTCGCGCTTCAAGATGGATAAATAAATAGATGAATAAACGCTGTTTGTATTGTCGCTCTAGGTTTAATCCTCTCAGAGCGCCGTGGCAAGAGCCAGACATTACAGATTACCGAATACAAAAATATTTCAGGCAGGGAGATCGATAAAGATAGAACGTGAGATTGATCGTAATTTCAAGGTGACTGCCAGAGCGGAGTCGCAGCCGAAGTTATTACTCGGCGGAATATCGATTTTCATCATAAACAGTTTAAGATCTTATTTCCGCGGATCTCGCGCGGTGCCATCGCTTCCATTTCCTGCGCTCGGCGGGCGCGCGTTCGCGAGTCACGGAATAAACGAATTCCCGCCGTTATAAAATACAGAGCGAAGCAATCGGTGGATCGCAAGCGGCATGAAACGGCCGTGGAACGCGAACGTGAAGGGCCGAATGGCCAAAGGCGGCGGCTGCGGCGGCGGCGGCGGCGGCGGCAGCGAATGTCGGGAATTCGAATTAACGCGAGCGTAACCAGAAAATCAACTTTGATTCCGCGCGCTGCGTTCGATCCAATTGCCGTGAAACGACGTTACCGCGCCGATGCGTTTAGCATATTTATGCCCATCGCCCGGAATACCGTGCCCGGGCTCAGGCCACGGTGTTGTCGACGGTTCACGTCGAATTGGCTCGGCGACGATATTTGTCCCGTCACGGGACTTCGAATGGTCTCGCTTCTGCTCGCGTGATTTATATTAATTGACGTTATCGTAGCGGCCCTTGTCGAGGCACTGTAATAACATTCTGCTGCGAGGACACAGCAGAAATCGGACATCAATATGCTTTAACGTCGATAAATATATTATCGCACGCTAATACTCCATTCGCTAAGCTCTATGCCCAATCCCCGCACTCGCTACCGTAAATGGAACGAGCGAAAGCGGAGGGAGAGGGCGGCGAGCAGCCGGCGGGGGGACGGTCGTAATTTGTCACGTCGCGAAATTAACAATTTTCGGGAGAGCCCCCGTACATACCCGTTGTTACGACGCACACCATGCCGTTTATTTACCATGCGAATGTAGATTCGCATCGCCGTTCTTCTGCGTTCGCGCGAGCGAGCGAGCGAGCGCTGTGTGCATATTTATCGAAGGGGTTTCTCGTTTGTAGATGCGACGGCACCTGCAGCGCATCCCGACCCGAATCATCCACCGGCGGATCTCCCCGGCCGAGAGCGAGACACATCAATCTCGCGACGCTTGACCGTCCGGGGCCGGGCGTTCTTTTCTATTACACCGTTAGAACCTAAACAAGGTAATCTGGACAATCAATCACCGCTGTGAACATCAGGACAAAGGGGGGGGGGAGACGCCCATTTGGTAACGACCTGTGATCATGCTCAGTCCCAAGATGCAAAGAACCGGTGAGACATGTGTGTGTGTGTGTGTGTGCATGTAGCCGTGTATGCATTTGTCGTTATCGTTATCGTTATCGTTATCATTCTTTGCAACAAATGATTACAACGCGCGATCTCGGCGAACGAAAGCTCGCGGAGATCGGAACGGAATCGCGGAAAATTTCACGGTGATCCTCTTATTCCAATTACGATTACACGCTGCGTTGTAATATGTATTTCGCCGAGCGTCGCGACAAAGGCCATAGTTACGCAGTCGCGCACACGTCACGCGTATTATTTTACACAAACGCATTAATGCATTTATAAATGTTACGCTCGCCGCGTAACGCGTGCGTCGCGCACGCGCGCGCTCGTTATTTTCGCGTATCCATTTCCCCCGGCACGGCGAGCGGCCGCTCGACAAACGCGCGAAATATTGCGGACGCAACGCAATTTGTATAAATATGCGCTTTTAAAAGTTTATCGAGCTCCTCCTGCGGTGGATATGAGCTTTAATCAACATCTAACTAATCACGCCGCGCTCCGACCGACGCGAACGAATGCGAAACGCAGTTAATTATCGCGAGCGCGTGTGCACTCGTACGTGTTATCGATACGCTACATGCAACATCGCCAGCCGCCACGCGATTTTCGATGTTGCTCTTATTTCGACGAACAATAGCGCGCTATCACGAATTCATATTAAAAGCGCACGTGGAGGAAGCACGATGTCCTCCTCCTCCTCCTCCTCGTCGTCGTCGTCGTCGTCGTCGTCGTCGTCATCGACGACGACGATATTTATATTTATGCGGAAAAGTTTGTCTGCCCTCGTTAATGCACCGCGACCGCGCACGTTTTGCATGTACAAATCCATTGTCCGCGGGAGAATTTTCCGCGAAACGTCGGCACGAGATTTTTCATTCGAGCCGTCGCAGAAATACAAATAATCGCCCGCGCAACCCTCCGTGTTCCGCGGCGACGCGAGAATCGCGGAATCGGGCGCTGCCGATCTCCTCCGCCCGATTGAGAAACCGGTCAACTGCGGCCATTCGTTTCCGGGCGAAGTCTTGAAATGAATGTCGCGCATTTTCGGAGCCGACAAGCTCGCGTTTGTTTTCGCGCATTCGCATCACGCCGTAGATTGGCCGCTGGCTCGTTCGATCGTTAATTCGCTCGATCGCGCGTTGGCGCGCGGACGTGCGCATCCGTGCGGAAGCCGCGGCTAAGCGCAATTGGCATTTACACGGAGATCGCGTCGTCGTCTGATCTGAGAACGGAATCTCGCTAATGTAGGCGTGGAGGAGCGCGAATGGCAATTGAACGAACGTTAGCTTCGGCGAATCAGACCGCGGTCGCTCGATCGCTCGTGATAGACCACGGCGCAATTTTTCTCGCGTGAGATTCATTTGTTTACGCCGGCGATTCGACCGCGGGTGGAGGAGGGGCGGGGGGGTGTGGGAGAGGAGATCGCGGCACGCGCTCGACCCCGAAATCTCATTAATTCTCTTCGGCTCTCGCCCTCGTTGCTGCTCGCTCAAACGGCACGACGTGCGCTTTTAATTACGTGGGAGACTCGTGTGTAATTTGCTCGACGTTGACTCTCGTCATACGTATGTACGTATACGTATGAACGAAGCGACGAACGAACGGACACGGACTTTGAACGTAAACGCCGCTTATCAGCGGCGGATTATTAATATTCCTGCGCGCACGCCGTGGTAAACAAGAACCGATGGTATTTTGAGCATGGTATTATTGAAACGATGGCGCACAGCGAGAGGAAACAGGTGGACGCGTAATTGCGACGCGGTGCATTGTGTGTCATACGATAACCCGACGGATATATATCGCCGCGTGTAATACTACGCGGCGATTCGGCGTCGCCTTTACGCGCGAGGCACGGCCCCGCTTCATACGGGCGGAGTATAAGAAAGAAAGAACAGTAGGTTCGCTCAGCGGAAAATAGTGCGAACGGTCGTTTGTCGCGCATGACCGAACTGCGCAACCAACAATATGGCGGCCAGTAGCTGTCAAAAGCTGTGTAAGCGTAAGCAACGATTAACCGTATGACCGAATTTTTAATATAATATTGTTGTTTTATTAAAATCAGTAAAATGAACGAAAGAGGGTGGGTACAAATGTTGTATAATAAACTGCAAGAGTGCAAACTTAAATTTGCAAAGTGTTAAATTTTGTTTCAATCAAAATGTGTCCCCTTCGAAACAATACGATATAAAGAAAAAGGCGAACCTCAATATCATTTAGTTTCCGAGATTTTTTACCTGTTACGTTTGAAATTTAGCACCCTGTATGTATATGTACATCTTTCTATATTATAATTAGTAATATGCTATATATTATTAATTATAATATTATTAACATATTATATTAATAATAGTTCATATTTTTATATTATTTTATAATGTATATTATAGATTTGACAGTAAATATTGCAAAACAGCAATAAATCTGCTTTAGCTGCTATTCTCTATTGTCATTGAAATTATAACCCGCGCACAACCAATAACACGGCGGTCTTTTGTAGCACCTGAGATCAAAAGCACCGCCACCGAGTGAACCCTTACTGTTCTTTCTTATACTGTAAATCCGGGCCATTCGCGCGCGATTACCGCCGCCTTCTCAAAACGCGCGCACGCGAATGACATAAAACACTCGCGCTCGCACGTGTCCCAGCGTGAATCCCCCGAAGCGGAGAGTCTCGCGCGTGGATCCGAGCAATCCCGGAGTGTTTCGGGAGGTTCGCCTGCCGAAATCCGGGATAAAACGGAAAATAAGGTACATCGCTCACCGCGTGCGCGGTGTTTCGCGTCAATTCGTCGTCGTTCGCGCGTCAACGCCTGTCGTCGCTCCCGAGATCGGGCGGGCCCTTTTAATTGCTCTATTCACGAGCGCTGCGTTTACGGTGTGTTGCAGTGAGGGTGAATGACGCTCAGCTAGTCATGCTGTCGGAGAGAGCCCATTACGATCATTCGCTGACGGGATATTTGCACAAGCGGGCAACCGACTCCACTAAGTGGCAATTACGATGGTTCCTTCTCTATCAGGTCAGTGAATTGTTTGTCGTGCCGTCGGCGATCGCGCTCTGTTCGGCGGCGAGCCATATTCCGTAACGAAACGGAACGGGCCAATTTGCATGTGTATCGACCCGGGCCTTAGGTAGCGTCGTCGTATAAACCTAATTTCACGAACACGCCCGATCTTCGTCTCGTCCCGGGACGGGCTGGAAAATACCATCCCTCGAGGTATAACTTGGCGAGGAATCACTTGGCGATTACCTAACGCGATAACACATCGTGTCACATCACCGAGACTGCGAAAAAACGCAACAGAGAGTCGTCGCCGTCTCTCACTTCGAAGCGCGACTGCCGACGTGGCATTTCAGCGTCTCCAATTATTAACAGCCATTAAAATAAAATAACGACAATATCCGAAGTTTCCGCCGACTTGCACCGCGTGGGTGGCGAGAGGCGCGCTTCTTGCCCCTCCCTCGATTCGCTCGGAATTTCTTCGCTCTCGGGTTTATAGTTTACTCGCCGCCGTCGCGAACTTCGAAAATGAGCCCTCATTAATTCTCTCGCGAGCGTTTTCGCGAGAGCCGACTGATACAATTAAGAGCGGAACTTTCGACATAGTTTGCGCTTCAGATACCTCGTCACTCGAGAGCCGCAGCATCCATATGCGCGCGTGTGGCCTCCTCTCGTCCCGTCCTCTCCTTCGTCCTCTCTCTCTCTCTCTCTCTCTCTCTCTCTCTGTCTCGGCTCGCAGCCGTGATCCTTTAAGTCATCGGCAATCCCCGTTTACGTGTCTTGCGTCGCGCGGTACCTTCCCGACAATTCGCTCGATCACGACGGCGCGACGCGAACGTGATACGATTCGTAATTATCTGATTGAGACTTTCGTCGTTGCAGCCATGTCGGATCGCGACCTCAGAGACGAGAGATCCCACGCGCTCGTCCCGGTAATGCGCGTCGGGTCGGGGTCGGTTTTCCTGGCGCGCGCGTGTGCGCTCGTACATATTTTCTGAGGTGGATTTTTGTATCTGCGATATACATTCGTTCGCGCGACGTGCGCGGATCGACAGATAGTCGTGTTCCATCTCGTCGCGAACAAAACTGGTGTATTATGCATGTCTGACAGCGTAATCCCATACGGTTAGAGGGAAGGTTATATCTCGGCTGGCTTGTAGTACGCGGGCTCGAAGTCACGCCACTGCATTGCAGATGAGCTTCCGCTTTTACAGCGGAAGTTCTCGCTAACTAGCCCGCCTCTTTATTTAACTAATTTCAGGCGCGAAGAACAGTCACGGCGTACAGCGGATATCTCGAAATGCTCGCTCGCACTGGCAGTCGGGCAGCTGGCGGGCTGTAAAGGCGGATACATGGGGCACTAGTTTATGCACTAGGAGAATAATAAAGAATGCCGGAAAGGGCGACTGAAAGGGCGATCGAACGCGCGCGCGCGGAGAGCACGGGCTGCGTTCTCGCGCGTAGGTCTCTCTCGATTTTCGCCCGTTGTCGATTTTCGTTTTCCCTTTTTCACGTGCACAGTGTATCTCGAAACTCCCGGGTTCGCTGTCACGGCGTATCGGGGATAGGGAAACTAGTTCATGCGGCAGGAGAACGATAAAGAATACCGGAAGGAAATGGAAAACTCCTGTCGAACGAGAAGTAAAAGAGCGCGAAGGTTTCTCCTTTGACGAATTTCTCCTTCCTTTCTCCTCTTTCTCTTCCTTTTCTTTTTGACGCTGATAATCGGGTATCTCCCGTCGAAGCGTCTCCAGTTATCACTGGACGACCTTGGTTCGCGGGGCGGCTGCGGGGGGGAGGGGGAGGGAGCGGGAAGGAAACGGGGATAACTCTCGTTCGTGCTCTCAGAGCTTGATAGACTTATCGCAGTCTCGTATTACGGAGATCGAAAACTTCGGCCCTTGTAACCGTCACGTGAGAACGTCCACGTTCCTTCTAGCACCACGAGTTTGGAACTCACGTAAAGGAAAGGGCCTCTTATCGCCCTTGCGCGGCGGAGCGCACGCGCAATTTCCGGGACAGAAGTTAAGTTAATCTAAGATCCGAGAGAGCTCTTCCTCAAACACACCGGTAGAATGGGGGGAGAATGAGAAAGAGTGAGCGAGCGGAGTCCTCCTCGTTTCATAAAACTTTATCGCGGGACACCGAGTGGCATTACCGCAAATTGCTTTTCATTAATCGACGGACGCATCGGCGCGGCGCGGTGCTCGTTTCCGCGCGAAATTCTTTCCCGCCGCGCGCGTCTCTCTCTCTCTCTCCCCCCCCCCCCCTCGTCATCCCTGTTTCGCGGGCTGAAATCTGAGCGTCGCGCGATCGTCACAGGATTTGGAAGGGAAGGGTCAAGGAGGAACGCGCGCGGCACGTTCCGCTGCAATTTCACGATGTGTCAACATCGTTTGAATCGATCGCTGGCTGTAAACATTTCTCGTAGATATTCGCCGATAACGTGTCCCATGCCCCCTCCCCCTGCCGGCCGATAAAGCAAAATCGTTTCGGGGGATTGTAACAGCGGTGGCAATTTCATCGCAGCGGATTGCCCGGGACTGGTAACTGGCTTTATGAAACGAGAGCACCCCCAATCGCGCGATATTCATTCGGCGAGTCTTGCGCGGCTAACAGGACGCGTTCGTTAATTTGCTTAACGCAAGCCGGATGATATTGTTTTACAGCTTTTATTATGTTATAATGCGCGCTCACGCGCGCGGCGCGTAGTACACGAGCGTATTCGCGAGGGAAGCGGGTTTGTGTAATATCATATTCCGTTTAGCCGAGCGACGGCCGGCGTCTGTTTTTCGTCGCTACGCGCGGGACACATTACGTGTACTAAAATTTCAATAGCGGGGGGATTACATCGCGTTCGAAGATTAAATGTTGCAGTGGAACGCGGCGCGCGCGTGCGCTGCACTTCCTTAAAACTGTAAGCACTCGGCGATACTTCGTTGCAATTTCTTATTAGACGAGAATACAAAATGAAGACTTGCGTAATATTCTACTTTATACGCTCTCTCTCTCTCTCTCTCTCTCTCTCTCTCTCTCTCTCTCTCTCTCTCTCTCTCTCTCTCTCTCTCTCTCCCTCTCTCTCTCTTCCCTTTCTGCAGTAGAAACGGTCTGGATGTGGTCAGACGTCCTGGCCTTTCAGCGTCCGAGGCATACGTGGCGGAAATTTAAATAATGGAAGCGTAAAGCAAGTAACCGAATTATATATATATATATATATATATATATAAATAATGCCCCATGTATACCCTTTGAATTCCCGAATTGAATGACAAGTGACCAAATGATGCATCCGCGCGTGTGGCTTTGCACGCGGATGGCCGCGGGGTCATGAAACGATCAAATATTAAGACGTCCCGTTATCCTCCGCCGTTTCCAGCCGCCTTACGAAAAGTTACGGGATATTATTTTTTCATCTCTTCCTAATGGAAGCGCGAGCTCACGGCAACGGCGGAACGTTTGTTGCAGAATATGCTATTCTATTACGAGAACGAGAACTGTTCGCGGCCCAGTGGCGTCATTCTGCTGGAGGGCTGTTATTGCGATCGACTCATCACCGCCAAAGGCAAAGAACCGGATAAACAGGTAACGCAATATGAACTGTGTGTTTGTTTGTTTGTTGTGTTTGTGTACGTGCGTGCGTGTGTTTACGCGCGCGCGTGTTTACGCGCGGGCACAAGCTCCCTGTCGGCACGCGTGACATCTTACTCGTTTCGTACACGCTGCGTGAAGTTAAACATTTCGAGCTCGAGTGCAATTTTTTACGCAAACCAAAACTCGCACGTGCGCCAACGAGCCAGGCCGACAGCCTCGGTGAGAGCTGGATGCTCTCGTCCTCGTTTCCGCTGCAATGTTTCTGCGTGAACGCGCGTATTCCTCCTCCCTTTCTCTTTGAGCAAACGAAATAACAATTGCCACTGCTGAATTATCGGGTAGTTGCCAGGACTCGTAAAGCGCGTCGCGCTATTGTTAACTTTCGGTAAGCTGAAGCCTCGTTTCCGCTAAAACCCCCTGTTAAAACGGTTTAATACGTGCTTATGTATGTGCATGTATGCGTATGTATATATAGTCGCGATCTTGAAAAGAGAAGTTTTGCGATATCGATTATCTCGCCCGCTCTTCTTCTTCGAGATGGTCGATGCGGAGGGCTCGGCGCGAGGCGACGTGCAGAATAATACGCTAAATAGCTCTCCCCAACGACGTATTTGGACGCGAATGCATAATTTAATAGTGTTTACTGTGTGTTAATGCATTTAATGTCAGAGGCTAATGTGTCATTCGTACGCGCATCGGCGGCGCATGCCGTTTACATGCTCACGCATTTAAAAGCTCGCGTATACGCACACGTATCAACTCACACAAAGATGGGCGCCGCCCGTTTCGCTCTTTTGCAATATTCATTTCAGCATTTCGGGCAACGACGCGCGTTTCGGCAACCCGCGGCATTGATTCGCGCGATGAATTTTTCACGACGTGGGAATTTCGCAAATGAGAACGAACGCGCTTGGACGCTCGCAGAGGCAGCTTCTCATCGAACGTTGACGGTGAACGATCACCGCGCGCTCTGGAATTCTCTCCTCGGCGCAATTAACATTAAACGCTGCCTTTCTCGATCTCGAGTCCTCTCTTACAACGATGAGTGAAGGCCTCGTTAAATAACGAAGATGAGATCGGAAATCGCCAATCGTCCATTTAATACTGAATGTGCAATGAGAGCTCTGTGTGTGTATCTTTCTCCTTTCTTCTCTCTCTCTTTTTTTTTTTTTAAGATCGCGAATACAGGGAACAAAGTGTCGAGTTTCTTTCGAGCTCCCTTGACCTCACAAATCGCCATATTACGACGAACGGAACGTTTCTCACTGCACCCTCGAGCGTGGCTCATGAACTTCGCGGACGGCAAGCCAGCTTGCCGTTAAGCTCCCCATTAATCGGGCGAGGGCGATTCGAAATGCGGACGAGCGATTAAAAGGTTCATCAACGTAGATGTGTGAGATAATAAGGGTAGGAGAGGGATGATAGTATCGATTTTTGCAAAGGTCACGTGATGCTCGCCGGCTTTCCCGCTCTTTTTCTAAAGATATATCGGCCGTCCAGTATTTTCTTTTGGTCTCGCAGACAAGGAGGAAGCTGTTTTTCCTTCCTTATTTCCACTTTCGTTACGGCCGATAAATCGATCGAGGCGCGCGGCCTGCTGCGAAAAATAATGCGAGGCCGTAACTTCAGCGGCCGCTTTAACAGCCTCCGCTTCATTTAGCGGCAATTACCGCCGAGCGAGGAGCGAGCGCCGACTCGCAGCGGAGCATGCTAATTTCTGCCGATTTTTGCCGTGACGTTTGCACGGCTCGTGCTGCGGCACGGTTCGAAAAACTTCTCTCTTAACAACGCTTCGACTCGAGAGAGGCTCGACCTCCCGATCAAATTATAATCTACCTGGTCCAACAGTTCTCACGATTCCAGACCAAGAAACAGGAAATGGCCGATGAAAAAGCGCATTATATTATTGCTCGATTTTCTCTTCTCTCCACAAGACCAAAGAAATACGCTTTGACGCGCATTATTACATAATGAGGAAACAAAATGTCTCCTCTCTTCGTCGGTGAATTTCATATACCATAATTGCAACGATTATGTAAATTAAGTGTGTCTGACTTTGCCACTTGCCGAACTTATTAAACTTATTTAACCTTACTAACTTATCAACTTGTCAACTTATCGAGTTGTTAATTTTATTTATAGACATTAAATATGTACTAAAAATATACGTTCCAACGTGTCCAAGAAATCTAGAGGAGTAAAATGTTCTGTATGTTCAATATTTAAACGGAAAGTTTTTTCGAAATTAACCAACGGACTTCGAGGAAATACGTTCGGAGTCAAATACGTCTAGTTCGTTAAAATATTTGACTTTCACGGTTGACAGAGAACCGTGATTGGTTTGCAGTCTCGGGCAAAAGAAAGGGATCGACATTGACTTGAACAACGTCGAATTCGTGACAGGAACAACGGCTTCGTCTACTCTCCGTTCGTCTCGTTTGATAACTCTATTGTTTATCGGCGGTATCGTATGAACCTCCTCGTATGAAATGCAACGGAATTCGCGGCTCAGTTTTACACTTCTCTTTGCCTAACATGGCGCCTAAAGAAGCGCCCTTCTCTTTCCTCTCTTTTCTCTCTCTCTCTCTCTCTCTCTCTCTCTCTCTCTCTCTCCTTTGTCGCGGAATTTTTTGAGAGACTCTTTACACGGCAAAAAGCGTGTTGACGCGGCAAACGTGAATCAATTAAAGACGTCGGTCGTTGTTTACAGATTTACAGGTATCACAGAAACGACGGCAACTGCTGTCGGGATCGTCGATGGGAATAAAATTTTTTCTAGATTCTCATATGCGGTCCTTCTTTGAGGTTTTCTTGCGAGGACTCGTTTTCCCCTCGTCTCTCTCCTTCTCGTCGTGTGTTTGCAGAACGCCGTTCGTTTATCATTTCTTTCTTTCGCGGGATGCACTTCTATAATGCAAGTATAAGCGAGACAATGCGGCGCGCGTTCGTTGCACAAGTACTGCCGCTGTGATTAAATATCGGTCGGGTGGCTTTTGTGCGGGATGCTCGTTTATTGGTGCACTCGATGCGCACGGTATCGACATAAGCCTCAGTCCTCGGGCACTTGTCCCAATTTAGCACACTTTGCGATACGGATAGTTGTCAACTGGACAGCCAATCCTCGCGATAACTATGCCGCCGCTGGTCGCGACAATGGCCCTTTTAAATACGCGTGAGGGTGTGAGAAAAAAGCAAGAGATCACTGCCTTGTACAACGTTTCGCACGCGCGAGTTTCATTCCGCCCGTATGAGCGGCTCCTCCGCTCATCCCGGCGGCGTATTAATCGAATCGAAACAAATCGTGACCATGTCCACCGTGAAACCCCTTTTCCAACGGCTTTATTTCCGAGCGAAAATGTTTTTCCCGGTGAAATACTGTCGGATCCGCCGCGACTGGAGCAACAAGATTCAAATAAATACCGGCGCAACAGAGCGGAAGAGAGCGGCGCGGCCGTAAAAAATATGCGCTTCGGAAATATCGGACGTCGTGATCGCGCCGAGAGTCCGCGCGGTGAAACGCGGAAATATATATCTCGCGTGCGAACACCGGCGGGTTATTAACTGCGTAATGTTTCCGGACACAGTGGCGGACACGATAATGCGCTGGATTATCGTATAGCAGAGCGCGTTGTTAAACGCGCCGATGCCTACGATGCTTATCTCGACGGTGCGCGGCCGCCGCGGCACGTACGAGATTTTCATTTACACGCGAGGCAACTCGAGGCAACGTTACCGCGAGGCGCGTTTCCGTCGGAGTGGCGACCAAGCCGGGAAATGGGAAAATTACGAAACTGTACAGCCGGATGATGAAATGAATAGCCTGCCTAAACGCATCGTGGTTTTGGCGCGCTGAGTTTTGATATAGAGAAAGAGAGAATCAGATTAGAACGGAACAGAAGAGAGAAGAGGAAAGTGCTCGGGCGTTTCCGCAAGTTTCCGTTTCGATATTCCGTCGCGCGCTCGTACGCTTGCCGTTTTTACCAAGCTAATTTCACTCGCGCGTGAAGTTCATCGACGGAAAGTTCATCGGTAACAAACGAATCATAAGCCACAAATCTAATTTCGATATGTCGCGGGAAAATTTGTCCCGACTATTTTCGCCGGTTTATAATTGCTTTTTTCGCCCGTGGCTGTTTGCGGCGGTGTATATAATTCAACAATCGGCTCACAGAGATGACGATTTGTTACGGGTTTACGCTCGTCGAAGCCGCATCGAGCGACGAGCGGGATTTTTCGACGAAATACCTTGTTAATTTTGCATTATCCCGCACGCCGGCGGGATCTCGTACGAGGACAAATGTGGAGTTCCCCCTTTCCAGGGAACTACGCGATGGAATATTCTATGCCCCGGAGGCAGCCGCTTTGGAATCCCTCCATTATCGAGCAATGTCATTTGTTGCATAAAATTTGAGACATTTTTCCTCCGTAAGATGACTCGGTTGTTCTTCGTCGCGCAAAGCCGTACGCTTCTTCATATCTCTCGATCTTATCTTGTTCTTCTCCTCCCTCTTCTTTCTCTTTTGCTTCTCTGGTTCTCTCTCCTTTTGTTGTCGAGCGAACTTACAAGCGACTTCTCCGTGCGATCTCCGATCGATATACGCACGTATATCGATAATAAAATACGCGTGCGATGCGACGAACGCTGGAGGAAAGGTTGCGTTTCGCGATTATTAATTTTATTCTTAAATTAAACATCGTCGAACGTCGTCGTTATCGCAGTTGCGTTGCGTTTGCTTGCTTCACACGCAGCTCTGCTTTCTAATTATCGCGGGCAGCGGGGCGCGAAGAGATACTATTTAATATATTACGCACAAACCGTCGGCGGCGACGTTGTCGTATATAAAATAAAAGATGATGATAGAGATTGCCGGGGGGACGCTTTTCTAAGTCGCGCGAGTCCCCGGGGTCAAGGATGCCGAGGACGCCTATAAGGAGCGCCGCACAGAGCTAAACCGGACGACTCTTAATCGAGCGCTCCGCACCTGCGAGAT